ATTGAGAAATCTCTATTCACTAATGTGCCTCTAGTGGAAACCATCGATTATATCTGCGAACAGACTGTAGAAAAGAAATTGTGCACTGATATTATTCCTATTAGTAATCTGAAACAACTACTTGTTAAATGTACAACAAATGTTCAGTTCTTGTTTAATAATGAAATATACAGACAGGTTGATGGAGTAGCCATGGGATCCCCACTGGGACCTATTTTCACGAATATATTTCTAGCAAAACTAGAAAATAGTCCGTTGAAAGAAGAAATAGCAGAAATGGAAATGTATTGTCGTTACATGGATGATACTTTTGTAGTGTACGATGAAGGGTTACTTAGTGGTTTCAGTTTGAGCAACTCCAATAATGCTCACTCAGAGGTCCATTTCACCTAAGAAGAAGAATTCAACGATTATCTTCACTTCCTCGACGTCCTACTAACGAGAAGAGAGGATGATTCCGTCAAAAGAACCATATTTAGATCGCTAGAGACCAAAGCTCAGTATACACACTTCCTTAGCTTTGTACCGATGAAATACAAACGTAATCTGATCAGGTGCTTAGTATTTAGAGCGAGGTCTATTTGTTCCGAAGACTGCGTAGAGAAAGAACTCCAGGTCATCCGAGACACTCTAAGCGAAAACGGATATCCAGAGAAGTTCATTAAAGCCAGCATAGGTTACAATAGTCGTAAACATGAACTGGCAACGGTGGAGAAAAAGCCTCTCTTTTTACTTCTCCAATTCAAGGGAGATACTTCTGCTGAGATTCTTTTGCAACGTTTAACCAAGGTGATAAAGAAAACTTTCTACGCTGTACATGTGTTCCTATCCTTCAGTAACCGTCCAATGTTCACCCAACAACTTAAAGATATCTTGCCTAACCTTAGCTCTTCTTCAATGTATACACCATTTCAACTGTTCCTGTGGTTCAAGTTATATAGGGTGTACGTACAATTAGGCAGGTTCGTCTACGGGTTCGAGAACATTTACCAGCTTGGTTCAGCAAGAAAGAAATTAAATGCATAAAAGACTTGATTCTATCACATTTGGTCGATACTGGACATCCTATCGATGTCAACGCAGCTTTCAGGGTTACATACCGAATTCCAAAGTCGTTATCACATACAGTTCGCTTACGTCTCCTACACATAGCTGAAGCTGTTGCAATAAAATTTATTTTATTTTATTTATTTTTTATTTTGGTTACAGCTTGATGCCACACCGTATTATCAGTACAAGTATGGCATTTTCAGCATGGATATCGGTAGCCCAAATTTTGCAGGCCGACCATAGATATCGGGTCCGCGTCGGCGGGGGATCGAACCCCGAACCATGTGCATGGTCGGCGAGAGTCCTAACCAGTGTACCACCGACGCACACCCCATAACTAATCTGTTATTCTACATTGAAAAAATGTATCCACCGCATAAGTGGCCTTTATTGTAACAACAACAAATATTATATTTTATAATTGTAAGAACCTGAAGAGAAATTATTGAAAAGAAAATTCTTCTTTCTGGTTGACTTTTAATTTATATATATATAAATATATACATGCTGATAACAGCAGATACAAAACGAATCACTACGGAAACTATTTGCTCAAATTTTTCACTAGATATTAAGTGAATATCGTTCAAATATATCTTTATTTGATGGTGATTGCCAGCAGGACTCTCGAAAATTGCCTTAGTTAGGTAACTAGGTCAATAAACAGTGCCATTGCATTTTTGATTTAGTCGACAGGGCAAGCACTAACGTTCATACGTTGAGTGTAGAATATTCTGCATAAACTTTCGGGATTTCCTTTTTTATTCGTCACTGAAGCGTTTGAGAATCAGTAAGAACAAATCTTAGCATTTCTTCCAGCCACATTAGACTTCACAATAGTAGTAATACCACAATAGACTAGTTATATACCTTTATTACTTGATTACTTTTCACCAGTATGATACCTCTGTTCATATCGCCTTAATTTTCTGATTTAACTATCACTAGAACCTAGAAGACCTGGATTTCGCGGATGATTTATGTTTGATGTCACACATAATCGAAGACTAACAAGCGACAAACGATAAACTGGTCGAAGAAGCTGGCAGCCAAGACAGGACTCCAGGTGAACATAGACAAGACGGAGGTTATGAAAATAACCAACAACAACAACAGCATCAGCAACATCCAGCGCCAATCACCAACAACGGAAGGGATTTGAAAGAGGTTACTTCATTCACTTATCTGGGGAGCATCGTCTCAACTACAGGAGGAACGGACGAGGATGTCAAATCGAGAATCGGGAAAGCGAGAAACACATTCATCAACCTGAAACCAATCTGGAAATCTTCGTCACTCAGCATCAACAACAAAATTCGGATTTTCAATACAAACGTCAAGTCAGTTCTTCTCTACGGATCAGAAACTTGGCGGGTCACAAAGAATATTTCCAACAGCCTGTTGCAGACCTTTATCAACAACTGTCTTCGCTATATACTCAAGATCAGATGGCCGGAAAGAACCACTAACAAGAAACTATGGGAAGAAACAAAACAAGAACCAATCGATCAACAAATATGCAGGAGAAAGTGGAGATGGATTGGGCACTCGCTGAGGAGGTCGCTGGGTGACATCGCGCGTCAGGCCAGTGCTCGAGTGTAACCCGAAAGGGGAGTGGCGAGTGTGACGTCCAATGGTGACATGGAGGAGATCGTGTGAATAGGAGTTGAAACAGTATGGAGCAACATGGATGCAGGCGAAAAGTGCAGTAGAAGACAGAAGCACGTGGAGACGTGCAGTTGAAGCTCTATGTTCCACTAGGAACCCAAGGGAACAACAACGATTACTACTATCGTTACTTATCATTTTTCAGACTCGCATTCAGCTTATCCCACTCAACTGTTTATTTTTCTTTGTAGTGTTCGTGTCGCCTCTCACGTCACTGAGTAAAATGCACTCGCTTTTGTTGAATATGACGCATAAACACATCAATCAGCCAGCTTAACTCATTCATCTGACGTTCACACTGACTACATACTTTGTATATCCTTAAACTATAATAAAAACTAACGGGTTGTAATTCCATCTTGTGCGTTAACCACATTACAGCTTCCCAAATAATTTTAATTCACTTCTAATGATTACTGTATGTTATCAGCAAGGGAGTTATACCAGCAGAGCTTGATGAAATTACAGATAACAGTTATTTGCTGTGATTATTATTTTTCTAAATATTTTAAGAAAAAATATGTATGTATGGCCTACCTAAAGTGCATAAACCAGGGGTACTGTTAAGACGAATAATTGATATGCGAAATTCGCCCTACCATGCTCTAGCTAGATGGTTAGTAAATAATCTCAAACCACTGCATAGAAGATAGTGAAATATGGCGTCAAAGATGTATTCGAATTCGTAGACAAAATAAAAGATATAAATATCAAGGAAAAAACCATATTCACAAATGTACCTCTAATAGAAACAGTTAACTACATATCTGAAGAAGTGGATAACCAGTCGATTAACATTGGCATCCGTACTGAAATCCTAAAAGAATTGTTATTAAGGTGTACCATGAGTGTAAACTTCTAATTTGACCGCACGCTTTAAAGGCAAGTGGACGGGGAGGCAACCGGCTCCCCATTAGCTCCCATTCTGGCTGATTTCTTTCTAAGTAAGCTAGAAAATGGTTCTTTGAACAACCTTATCAGTAAGTTCTCATTTTATTGCCGATATATGGATGACACCTTCATTGTTTGTGATAATGATTCTGATAGGAGTACAATAATTACTGAATTCATTGAAGTACATTCGGCTATGAAATTCACGTTCGAAGAGGAATCTCAAGACAGAATTGCCTTCCTGGATGTTCTACTTACAAGAAAACCAGATGGTAGTATAAAAAGAAATTTGCGTAGAAAAAGCACATGGCAGGACAATATACACACTTTCACAGCTTCGTTCCTATCAAGAACAAAAGAAATTTAGTGATGACCCGTAGCCACAGAGTTAGAGCTATATGCTCAGAAGAAGTAACTGAAGATGAATTAAGCATTATTTATGATACTTTGATCGAAAATGGTCATCCTGAAAAATTTACCAAGAAACACATGACAAAGGAAGCCGAAAAAGAAAACCCACTATCTGTAAACAAGAAGCCACTTTATATACGACTACAATTCATGGGCGATATACCAAGTGAGATAATTACGGAGAAATTAAGAAAATGAGTTCGAAGAACTTATTATGCTGGCGAACTGCACGTATTATTCTCTAAGCGACCGATGGTGCTACCTCGACCGAAAGATGAAGTACCTAGACTAGCCACTTCAAATTGTATCTATCAATTCAACTGCGCTTGTGGAGTGAGTTATATTGGCCGTTGCTCTAGGAACTTGATTTTTCGTGCTCTCTCGGGAACATCTCTCACTATGGCTAAGTGAAGGTGTAGTGAAAACCACTAACAGTTCGATATTGGACCATCTGGTGCAAACCGGCCACAAAGCCAGCCAGCGTAGAAGAATCCTTCTCTATCATCTACCGGGCGCCTAATAAGTTGCCAAAATCATCGAAGCACCGCATGCTCCAAACATCAGAGGCTATTGCAATTCGCCTCAAACAACCAGTGCTCTGTGTTCAAATGAAGCAAGTTCAGCCCCTACTACTGCCCTGGCCGGCCTTCAGTAGAGACTATAAACTCATGAATTTGTAATATTATCTTTCGTAATTTTTCTGACATTCAGTTTATTTTATGTTGATGCTGTGCAGCTGTAATTTATCAATATTATTGATTCGATGTTATTTAAACAACATGAATGTCGTTCATAAGACTAATTCACTCATTCATTATACTGTATATATAATTGTAGAACCTGATGATGAATTTATCGAAAAGAGTACTCTTTGTTCCATGTCCATTCTTTTGAAAAAATATTCAAGCCTCTGGAAATCTACCATTATGTAATCTGATTGAGTGATCGCAGTATGAAGTCTTTTTTTTCTTTAATCATTTCGACTGTTCATTTCAGAAAAAATGAAAATATTATTGCATACCTGAAGTCTGTTCTCTTTACACTTTTATCTTTCCATATAATATATAAGTTGTGAATGTAAAGAAAGTGGTGCAATAATAATAATAATAATGTTTCTATTCATATTTTTAAGAAAACAAAATTCTTACTAATCATAGGACTTGAGCATAACAAAGGATTTAAGAAAATCCTATATTATGTCTCTATATCCTCAGGTGCAGTGAAAGAAATGTTTGCAGTTAATTCAACTCTCCATTACCTTGTGGAACTTCTTATTCTATATGCAATCTTTTCTTTTCATAATTCCGTAGTTCTAAACTGGTGATGAATGCGTTTTCTACGATTCCCAGTATTACAAACCATTCGCTCACTGCGCTCCATTTGTATTCTTCATATCCCTTCAACACAAATACAAAAGAAAACATGTTTGTTAAGCAAGTAAAACGACCATACGAAGTACTATGTATACTTATATGTATATGCGTATATTAGAACAAGACGCATATAAGCGAACAATATTGTTGTTTTCAATTAGATCTTCTTCAGGCTTTACTCCAATTTACATAGATTTATATATAAAAATTTTTAACCAATGACGGTGATTTGTGGATCAAATAATAATAATGATAATAGTAATAATAATGTGGTAAATGTTTTGAACGTCAGTAATAACGATGATTATAATGATAACAAAATATTGATGCAGGTGGCGATAAGAATAACAAAGGTAGTATATGTGTATATGTAGACAGTTCAATAAATAAACTAGGTCAAATGTTAAAGTTACGTAATACTAGTGGTGAAGTGGACAGATAATCAGACTTTAGATAAATAACATAAAAATACGAAGGAGATGGAAAATGAGAAAGAGTGGGAGGGTTTTGAATGGAATTCACCTAGGCCAAGGGAGAGACAAAGGTAGAACAAACTTCTTCTGTATGCAAAGTCTAGGATTGTTCTTTCGAATTCCCATAGCTTCGGCTATGTGTAAAAGACGGATTCGAATTCCGTTCGAAAGGCTTGATGGAATGCGATAGATAACTTTGAAGGCAATATTTTTGTGCACTTGGTGACCGCTTTCAATCAAATGAGCCAAAATAGAACTTCTTATAGATTTTATTTGACCTTTTCCAAACCATGAAGGAAGATGCTCATTAATGCGTTTGTTAAGCTGTCTAGTTGTTCGCCCTATTTAGCTCTCTCCACAGGAGCAACTAAATTTATAGATACACATAGATGTGGCACAGCTAGGTAGCATGTCTTTCACTTGAGCAATCAAAATTGGTCGGCTGGAAAATGACAAACAAAGGGTGGCGGCAGTATAAGTCTGTTTTATTGCTCTCGATAATCTCAGATGTAAGACTTCGCTAGCCACGTCCCCATTAAATTGCAATTTCATGAAGAGTATTTTTTATTTTTAACTGTTGTCAGTTTCTCTTCATTATACCTGGCCTTCATGTGTCTCCTTACAAATCTACTAGGATAACCCATTTGGATCAGCGTATTTTGGATGTATCCTAACTCATTTTCTAGGGAGTCATCTGTACAAATACGTCTTGCTCTATTCGTGAGGCATCTGACCAAATTGACTTTGTATCGGATTGGTAAAAAACTGAGGAAATGTGTATATTGTCCTACAGATGTAGGTTTTCCATAGACATCCCTCTTGAGTGAACCATCCTCTCTTCTGCTCAACTGGATGTCAAGGAAATGTAGTCTACCATCAAGTTCTTCTTCACAAGTGAAGATGAGCGATGGATGTGCATCATTAAATTTTATTAACATTTCGTTGTTGTCAGCTTTCACATCAAGAATAATGAACGTGTCATCAACATAGCGAAAATAAGAATCAGTTTTATCTATTACTTGTTTTTCAATGGATCATTTTCAAACTTAGCAAGAAAGAAATCTACCAAAATTGGCCCCAATGGAGACCCCATAGCAATGCCGTCAATTTTTCTGTAGTAAAGGTTGTTGAATGCGAAGTGTACATTCATAATACATCTTAAAAGCAACTCTTTCAGACTAATAACTGGAATTACGATTTCGAACTGTTTTTGTAGTATCTGTTGGCATATGATCTATCTATCTATCTATCTATATATATATATATATATATATATATAAAAAAAAGATCAGAGATAGAATATGCCATCATAGATTTCACACTTGACAACCTTTAGAAAACTCAGAAGAGTTTTGTAGTAAAGTTCTATCAGGCTGATTAGTCAAAGTCAAAAATGCAAGAGAATGAGAGCACTAATTATAACCTAAAGTGGCCAGTCAGAGTAAACCCAACCAAAACGATTGAAATGGAACAACCAGCGTATTTTTTGAAAGAGATGTCTAGTATACTCCCTATCTTGTAGGATTATGGGTGTCCATCAAAATGTCTATCCTGTAAGCTTAAGGGTTAGGAGTCAACGTAAGGATGAGGAGGCAGGGGTTGCAATCAGATTCTAAGGAATTTTCCGAGACTAAATGTTCCATGTAAATTCTGAAGAAAGTTTCTTAATAAAACTGACTTCAAAATTTTATTATAATACAATTCTTTCCATAAGATCTGAATTGTACACAAGGCTTCACCAGCACACACCATTTGATTAGGTTCTTAGTTTCTGGTTTCTCTTCCATCCTTAGGCTTGGAGTATCAGGTCATCCAATGATCACCTCAGGGTATATCCAATTTATCTCCATTTCCATCTGCGTATTCGTTAGACACCACGTTCTTGTCTAGGTGTTTACTGATTGCTCATCCTCTCCAACTGGCCATATCATCTTCAACATAGAGTGAAGAGGAAGATATCAATGCAAATTCGCAGCAGAATGTTGGAAAAGCCCTCGATGACGCACGTGGAAAATCGTCAGAGAGTACAGAAGCACTGAAGCAGTGACATTGGTGTTGAAAATTCCCATCTTGTTATTCGTAATATGGGCTGTAACTCTCCAAACTGATTTGGAGAGTAATAAACACCTGCCATGCTCTCTTCATTCTGGGTGATAAACATTTTCATTCGCATCACTTGTAATTAAAACTGTCCTATGCAGATAAGACGACTTCGTTCGAATTTTCTTCGGTTGAAGGTGACGAGTAATGATCTTTGTTGGCTGGTATCTTCGTCACCTCTGTCTTCCCTATGTTCACTCGTAGTTCCGCTTTATTATCCCCTCTGTCAGCTTGATGGATTTCGTTTGTAAGTCAGTGAGTTCATGTGACTTAAAGCACAAATCATCTGCGAAATCCAGATATTCTGTGAGCTTCATGTCAGTCCAACAAATGACCGCCTTCTCTCTCCTTTTATCCTGCCGCTTGATGCAGTCCACCACAGAGACAGGAAAGTGATCGGTGACAGTAGGTTACCTTGTCTTACAAGTGTCTTTACTTGAAACGCTTCATTTAACTGTCTGTCGTGAATTAATTGGCATGCGCCACCATCATATAGCTTCTGAAGGATATTTGTAAACGCCTGATTCACTGCACTTCGTCTCGTTAGGGTGGTTAACAAATTACTTCATGGTTGCCTCTGTAGAAAGTCTTTCAAAATGGTTGAAGTTGAGGTAAGTAGTTGACTGGATTTCCAGACAGTGTTTGATACTCGCAATTAGTATTGCTATTCAGAATCATATGATATGTTTTCACTGAATCCAGTCTGTAACTGACAGAATCTTCCATCTGGTGCATCTTTTTTAATCTCCACGATAAGGCGGCTTAGAAGTCCGCTTGGGTGGACAATAGCCACGTCAGTCTTTATATTGACGTAGGTTGCATTCCTCTGACAGTTTGACAGAGTTACGTTTCTCGTAGTCATCAGGTACCTACCTTTCTTTACTCCCAGACCTTCTGTAGTTGTAGTAGAGTCATTAGGTGGTCAGCTATGGCTTTCGAGTCTGTTTTCAGTGTATTATTACATACGAAAACTTTGACTGGCTGCCTCCACATTATTCGTAATCTCATCCTCTCAGACCATTAAATTAACCTGTACATATTACTTGACTTACCGGTTCATGTCGTTTTATATAGTAGTAGTCTTCCGCTTTCACAATTAAGAGTCCAAGCTGATTGAAATATATAACTGTTGTAATATAAGAAAGTTAGACGATGTTGAGATTCAGTTAGTCAAAGACACAATAATATACTTTATCAAAGAAACATTTACTTATTTTAAAAATACCTGCATAGTCAGACGATAAAATAAGAATTCTAGAGATAGATAATTCAGATTTAACTTGTGCTATAACAACAAATAGAATTATAAAAGCTACGGTGTGAAACTGAATTTACAACTGTGCGTCGGTGGCACAGTGGTTAGGACTCTCGCCGACCATGCATGTGGTCCGGGGTTCGATCCCCTGCCGGCGCACACCCGATATCCATGCTGAAAATTCCACACTTGTACTGAAAATACGGTGTGGAATCAAGCTGTAAATAAAAAAAAGCAACTTTTGTTGGTACTCTCTCTATTTAATCTACAAAAACATTAACGAAATCGCCATAGGTCAACTTCACACCGAATCACTAAAATTAATTATTTAACAACTTATTTGTTCTTCAGAAAATAAACACTGACTCTTAGCAGATCAATATGCGGACTAGCACCAAAACACTTTGGAAACATCACTGAAATTTGAGGAGCAAGAGACTTTTGAAAAGAAGTCATATCATTAAAAGTGTACTAATAAAAATGATTCACAGTTAGTAGAACTGTAAATGTTTATAAATGCCTGGTTAATATACATAGCTTGATTATTATTATTTCCTTTAATTCCCAAAGGAACATAGGGCTTCAGCCGTGCGTCACCAATGCGTTCGGTTCTCTGCTAGAGTCTTCACCTGAATCCAAGTCTGTCCACATGCTTTCATCTCCTCTTCACACGACCTCCTCCAAGTCACCCTTGCACTGATTACCAACTCGCCACTTCCCTTTCGGGTTCCACTCGAGCAATGGCTTGTCTAGTGATGTCTCTTGATGGTTTCCTCAGAGTATGGCCAATCCACCTAACTCCATATCTTCCTGCCTATTTGTTTCACAATCGGTTCCTGGTTGGTTAGCTCATTGCCAGAGATCTCTGTTGCTGATCATTTCTGGCCAGCCATCTGATCTTGAGTATTGAGCGAAGACATCTGTTAATGTTGGTCTGTAGTTTGTTTGAGATGCTCTTTATGACGCGCTGGTCAAGTCTCTGATCCGTATAGTAAGTAGCACTGACTTCACATTGGAGTTGAAAATCCGGATCATGTTTTCTTTTATGCTGAGTGTTGATCTCCACACAGACTTGAGAGTAGTGAAAGCTTGTCTTGCTTCCCCGCTCCTCACGCTTTGATATCCTCATCAGGTCCGCCCGCCTGTAGTTGAAACGATTCTTCCCAGGTCGTTAGGTAAAGGAGACTGTTTCTTTCAGGTTCTACCAATTTATGCTGATTGTTGTCTGTTGTTGTTGTTGTTACTGTTGGTGGTGTTAGCCAAGAATCTTTATCACCTCTGCTTCCTCTATGTTCACCTGAAGTGTAGGCCTATGTTTGATGCTTCTTCTGACAACTTGTTGCTTTTCGCTTGCAGATCTTCCAGTTTGTTTGAAATCAGACATATATCATCGGCGAAGTCTAGATCCTCTAAGTATTTTGTGTGGGTCCATTTTTTCCCGTCTCCTCGTTGCCCACCGCTCTCTGTCTGTCGCATTATCCAATCTACTGCAATCAGGAAAATCACTGTCGGTAGTAGGCAGCCATCCAGCCTTGTCTTACTCCCGTCCTCACTTCGAAGGATTCCATAAGTTTCCCGTTGTGGATTACTTGGCATGCAGCATTGTCGTACAACTGTTGGATGAGATATATAATTGTCGGTGGCACCCCGTAGTAGCGCAGTAGTTGCCAAATCACCTCTCGATTGACGCTGTCTGCTGAAGGCCTTTTCAAAGTCGATGAAGTTGAGATAGAGAGGTGACTGCCATTCCAAGCTTTGTTCAATGATGATCCGTAATGTGGCAATTTGCATTACTATAAGTTTGCTTTGCACAAAATATCATCTGATGACTGGTGAAATGAATTTATAGATAAATATTAAAATTTAAAGAAAAACTTTCTTAGAGTGTGACTCACAAAAATGTGCGCCAAGAATCATCTGAATCCAAACAATTAATCTAGCGAAGAAAAACCATCTCTGTGGATGGAAAGCATATGAAACAAGCAGACCACCCAGTGGAATTGAAACCAGGTGACAATAGAAATTCATTAGAGAGAAGTAATAATGTGTATGGTTGTCAGTTTTTCCCTGTAAAACAAATGGTGTTATAGTGATTGTGTTATTGCATCATTTAAAACACTAAGCTACAATATTTTGCTTAGCACACACTGCATGACAATGAATGAAATGTTAATGCATATATGTTAATGTAACAGGAAGCCTAAGTGATCCTGGAATTATTGTGATAGGAGCGATCACCCTAGAGAGAACCCTGGCTTCACACATATTATTTATTATTATTATTAGTAGTAACATGGTGTAGAATGTGGTTCATTCCAAAATTTATTTGAAAGTAACAAAACAATGAAGTCATTGTCATTCGAGTAAATTTGAATTACATGAAAACTTTTTTCGATTGCATGGAGGATTTCACCCTAGGCTGACATCAGTTAGAGAACCACTGGAAAACCTGGGAGTACTGGACAGCTGTTTCGTCCTAGTTTGGGACTCTTTATCAGTACGCACCCACCGGGGTTCGAATCCAGGACCTTTTGGTTACAAGGCGAGCCCGTTGGGTATGTACTGCTGAAGAGTCCCAAACCAGGGCGAAACAGCTGTCCAGTACTCCCAGGTTTTCCAGTGGTTCTCTAACTGATGTCACCCCATGATGAAATCCTCCATGCAATCGAACAAAATCCCTACAAAACCAATACGTGAAAACTTTGTTCATTTAAGTAGCACCAGCTCTCTAATGATGTGTCAAGTGAATCATATATCTGAAATATATCTAACAGAAATAACAGCTAATCATCAGTATAAAGCATTCAGAACACAATGAGCACCATGGCTTTCTATTTTGGCGCTGTAAAAGCTGCTGAACTTAATGTTCAAGCTTCTCCTGTTATTGGAATCTCCACTCTGTGGGAAAATATCCGTTGCATGTTTATATATGGTAACAAATGAACTGAAGGTAACGGTGATATAAGTTATTGTAACAGATGCACACATATTCTTAGCGATAGGAAATTTCTAAGTGCTGTAGTCATATTTTACCTGCTTGTGATTTTAATCATCTAAAAGTTTTCTATAGCTCAACATTTGGAAGTCAAAGATCCGGACACGACTTGCAAACAAGTTGACTTCTGGTAATCTAGTATATATAATACATAACTGGTCAGACGAATAAACCCTATTTGACTATTTTCAATATTAAGTGATGAATTTCGTTATTTCGTTAGTTAACGTGTCCACTTGAAAGCACTTGGATAAGCGTTTTTACAAAGAAGACATTTGTGTGACCAACTATCTCTAGATATCTAAACGCAAACATATTTTTTGTCGATATTGATAAAAATAACTGATTCTGGTCGGACCATCTACAGGTACATTTCGTTGAACGTAAACTCACTTGTTCACTCCACCGACAAATTACTGATCGCATCAAACCACACTTTTTATCCATAAGAGAAATATTAGCTGGCTACTTAAAATATCATATCATATATCATAATAAAAATAAAGTGAGTTCCACTTACATCAATTATTGACAATGCTATTATGGATATGCCTGATATTGAAAAAGTTATCGGTACGATGATGCAGAGTAGTCCACTAACCGTTGACCAAGCATTTCTCTCCACAAGTGTTCTTCTCATCATTAAGTACCAAAACCATTGACTTATAATAGCTAAAGTAAAAAGTTATTCTCTTTGTATGAGCGATTGATTATAATCATTTAAGTACTGGGAACCAAAAAGCGGAAATTCAAAAATGTACCTCTAATAGAAACAGTTAACTACATATGTGAACAAGTGGATAACCAGTCGATTAACATTGGCATCCGTACTGAAATCCTAAAAGAATTGTTATAAAGGTGCACCATGAATGCAAACTTCAAAACTGGACGGCACGCTTTACAGGCAAGTGGACGGGGAGGCGATGGGCCCCTTATTGGCTCCTATTCTGGCTGATTTCTTTCTAAGTAAGCTATAAAATGGTTCTTTGAACAACCTCATCAGTAAGTTCTCATTTTATTGCCGATATATGGATGACACCTTCATTGTTTGTGATAATGATTCTGATAGGAGTACAATAATTACTGAATTCAATGAAGTACATTCGGCTATGAAATTCACGTTCGAAGAGGAATCTCAAGACAGAATTGCCTTCCTGGATGTTCTACTTACAAGAAAACCAGATGGTAGTATAAAAAGAAATTTGCGTAGAAAAAGCACATGGCAGGACAATATACACACTTTCACAGCTTCGTTCCTATCAAGAACAAAAGAAATTTAGTGATGACCCGTAGCCACAGAGTTAGAGCTATATGCTCAGAAGAAGTAACTGAAGATGAATTAAGCATTATTTATGATACTTTGATCGAAAATGGTCATCCTGACAAATTTACCAAGAAACACATGACAAAGGAAGCCGAAAAAGAAAACCCACTATCTGTAAACAAGAAGCCACTTTATATACGACTACAATTCATGGGCGATATACCAAGTGAGATAATTACGGAGAAATTAAGAAAATGAGTTCGAAGAACTTTTAATGCTGGCGGACTGCACGTATTATTCTCTAAGCGACCGATGGTGCTACCTCGACCGAAAGATGAACTACCTAGACTAGCTAGCCACTTCAAATTGTATCTATCAATTCAACTGCGCTTGTGGAGTGAGTTATATTGGCCGTTGCTGTAGGAACTTGATTTTTCGTGCTCTCTCGGGAACATCTCTCACTATGGCTAAGTGAAGGTGTAGTGAAAACCACTAACAGTTCGATATTGGACCATCTGGTGCAAACCGGCCACAAAGCCAGCCAGCGTAGAAGAATCCTTCTCTATCATCTACCGGGCGCCTAATAAGTTGCTAAAATCATCGAAGCACCGCATGCTCCAAACATCAGAGGCTATTGCAATTCGCCTCAAACAACCAGTGCTCTGTGTTCAAATGAAGCAAGTTCAGCCCCTACTACTGCCCTGGCCGGCCTTCAGTAGAGACTATAAACTCATGAATTTGTAATATTATCTTTCGTAATTTTTCTGACATTCAGTTTATTTTATGTTGATGCTGTGCGGCTGTAATCTATCAATATTATTGATTCGATGTTATTTAAACAACATGAATGTCGTTCATAAGACTAATTCACTCATTCATTATACTGTATATATAATTGTAGAACCTGATGATGAATTTATCGAAAAGAGTACTCTTTGTTCCATGTTCATTCTTTTGAAATTTTAAAATTATCATTTTTCTGTGATTATTTAGTTAGATGGATGTCTCCAAAGGATTAACTGAGTATGAGGATGTTCTGAAGACAGACGCAATGAATAGTGAGACAGTAATGGTAGTCACACTGAAAGTTGAAGATGTTAGTTAGTAAATATAAGTATAACGGATGAAATTTGTGGAATCTGTCATGGAATAGTAATTCTCTGATCTCAATCACTCAGAGAGCAAGAGTGAATATCGATAAAGACCGCCAACTTAGATCGGTGCATCCTGAACTTTAAAGCCTATTCACGCAAAAATTATTTAAGATTGATGAAACCAGTTGAGTTATCGCATGCAGCTACATAAATCACCATCATCTCTACTAATATATATCCTCTAAGAGAGTGTTCACTGAAACCCTGATTGCAATAGAAGATGTAACTCCAAGTGAAATACTTCCACAATCTCATTTCTCATTCATCTTTTTTCGTTCATTTGCATTGTTTTTTAACTAGTGGTGAGGCAGTCAAGTATGAGTTAATTTGCAAATAAATCAGCTAATCAGTGTTGACGTGTTTAAGTAATAATACAACATATGAGACAAAATATTTTCATATTACTGTGAGTACACTTGTTTCATTTCTTATTAAGTAGTTTAAATTTGCATAAACAAATGTAAACACTTTCCATCCAACTGAAAAGATTCCTTTCAGAGATGAGAGTTGTGCACTGATTTATCTAGGTCAGTTGATATACTTTCACTTAAGAATTTGTTTTAATAAATAAATCCACCTTGAACACATTGTTGCAAACATTAATGTAAACCATATAATTAGAAGGTCATATTTTTCTTGTAGATTAACAAGATAGGTATGCATCCAACTCAATTATTGATTACTTACACGGACAATAAAATTTTATCTTTTATTTACTTCTCATAATATCTGAGCAATGCAGCATTTCATAACTTTATGAACTATGTGATTACGTATGTTTGGCCGATGGCCACATCGATAAAATTCACCGAAGAATGCCAATTTCACTGGTGAAGGTCATAATATTGTCTCATCATTATCTATCTATCTATCTATCTATCTATCTATCTATCTATCTATCTATCTATCTATCTATCTATCTATCTATCTATCTATCTATCTATCTATCTATCTATCTATCTATCTATCTATCTATCTATCTATCTATCTATCTATCTATCTATCTATCTATCTATCTATCTATCTATCTATCTATCTATCTATCTATCTATCTATCTATCTATCTATCTATCTATCTATCTATCTATCTATCTATCTATCTATCTATCTATCTATCGTGATTGATTCAACGAAGTCTCCTAAAACTATGCAATGCAGATACAGTTTATCAGTAAAGTGTATATTCTACATAAAAGTTTGATGAGCTTACTTAGTACTCCAAATAATCCCAAGGAATACATAAAAGTATATTTTTCCGGCGGATACACACCAAGAGCGCTGAATAAAAGAAAATTAACCTTTAAGTGTAAAGAGATTAAGTGTGTAGCGAAAGTATCCTATTACCTGTGAGATATATACCTCATTCTACGGTACTCTGCACCCGAACGATGTATGTTATTATGCATATGCACATATACAGATGTTACATAGAAGGAAGAAAACTGAATTGGCTATTTGTAACTTTCATAAAGACACTTTTCAACAAGTCAACAGAAATGCTCAAATTCAAAGTGACCAAATTAAATGTGAGTGCAGAGAAACGAGATCAATACCCTAGACTGTAAGGTGGTAGTCCATCCATCATCACTGGCACACACACAGTGATGCGAGTGGAAATTTCAAAGGCAATCTCATTCTCCTAAAGCTAACCAGTATGGTTTATTGGTGGATATTAGACGCTCTAAGACATTTCGGATCACTTCCATCTAACCTATCCTAAGAGATAATATCTTATTTCTCTTTGTACAGCTAATGTGTGACACATTAGAAAATGCTTATTCTGTTCCAGCCTAAGAATGCAATACACTTGTTTAGCTAAACAAGAGATGTTGTGAATTTGTGGTATTCGTTTGTTATCTGACAAGCAACAGAACTATCATTTTAACAATGTGAAACTTACACTACATTGTGGTTTGCAGATATGTCATTCTTTATGCTGTTAAAACTGTTGGTCAAACTAGCAGATCAGCTTTATGATAAAGAACTACTGGCCCTAACTACTTCACAAAATCCATGCAACAATCGGTGTGTGTTGCTTTTCTCCTCTAGTTTAAATAGACATAAATTAGATTTTGAATAATTGGTTAAACAACAAACATGGGGAGGATGAACAAGCAGTCTGACTGACATGGAATCACAACTTGACTTTAGGATAAGTCCCTAGGTGAGTACTAGTAAAAGGTGTCAAGCAGTTATCTTGAAGCAACATAAATTATTTAAAATAATTCAATCTGACTTGGTGAACAAACTATTCCAGGAAATTCATAACATTTACGGTCTGGAAACTTATAATATAAGGTTGTTTGTTCGATTTCTGAAGCAATTTATAATTTCAATTCTACTTCAGTGGTTACGCTTTCTGTTCTGTTTGAACGAATGATGAATAGTTTTCTAGTATGGATGGTAATCTAGAAATTTAAGCAAAATCTATTATCATTCATATCATCCAGAGCCTAAGTAAAACTACTGGTCATCAATTACACCACATGTGTTGCTAATTAAAATGGAGCCAGTAAATTTCATAACCTCGCCTAGTGTACTAGATCGCCAGTTTTTTAGCAAGTTACAAGCTCGGCGAAATAGAGTGAGGCATGCTACCGTAAACCGGAAAATCAAACCCATTTATACAGAAATTTCAAAACACAACAAAAATATCGATAACCAACTTCTTCTTCGCTGCAATCGGAGAGATGAAATGACGCGGATTGGTGGAAGTCTTCGAGGTGATGGTCAATGGATTTGTCTTCCCTCTCACAATGAAAACGAGAATAAGCATGGGGACATGCAATGTATGTACAAGGAACTATGGCGTGAAGGCTGCCCAGGTAGCCAGAGAAGTGAGACGATATTGCATAGATGAGCTGGGCATCTGCTAGACCAAATGGAATGCATGAGAACTATCAACAGTTTCAGCTGGTAAGTTAGTAATCTACTCGAGTTTCGTCGCCCAGACGGCAACCACACTGAGGCAAACTGAGGCAATGAGAGGCTATCATAATATCACCAGCACCAACATCACCAATACCATCAACAAAAACAGCATCAACGAATCCTATTATGAGTTGGGAACCAATCTCCTCATGCAGGACCATGACAGCAAGATTCAAATCGAAACGAAGGCTGTGCAGTTAAAATTATCCAATGCTACGCACAGTGCCACAAACATCTCAGAAAAAGAGAAGAAGGAAGATTTCTATAGACAAACGCAAACAGTAGTGGACAACATCCCGAATGGCGACATCAAAATTCCAGTGGGCCATATGAATGCAAGAGGAACATGGAGCAGACCATACAGGAAGAGAACTCACCATTGATCGATAGGTCCTCGCTCGGCGAAATGAGTTCAAATGGAGAACTCTTCTCAGGTTTCTGCGCCTCAAGTGCTTTGGCGATCGCAGGTAGCGTGTTCAAATGCAAGGATATACACAAGGTGAGCGAGATGAATTTCGCTTGATGGACACATAAAGAACCAGATATATTTCATCGCAATGCTGCTCAAAGAAGTGTAGAAACAGCCTGACGGGCACAAAAAAGAGATGGGTAGCAGAAATAGGCCCACACCATTATCTAGTTCAAGGAACCTTCAAGGTGAATTTGAAATCCTTCAGAACAACTGGAGACAGGCCATTGTTATTCAGGTTCAACACTCAGAAACTGAAGGATGAAACTACAAATGATATCTTCATTGCAGCCATCAGAATAAAGTCGAAGAGGCTAGAAGTTTCACGAGATAGAGTTGCTAGCCTCATACCCAACCTTCCCTCTTTACCAGTCTTATTACTTGCTTATCGAGGTAAAGGAGTGCGTTGGCTGAGGACCGAACCCAGGACCACATGCGTGATCAACGAGCATCCTACCGCTGTGCCACCGATGGACAGGAAAAATAAAATAATTTACCAAATACTATGTAATTGTGGTGAGAGCTGTCTACCAGCCAATTGGTTGACAGTAATTGAGGTCAGTGTTTATGTATCAAATATTAGTCATGTTGTGGTGAGAGATGGTTGCTAGCCAAATTGGTTGACAGTAATTCCATTATGGGTAAAGTTTATTTTGATAGAGTCTCACAGTGTTATACAGTAATATTTACTGATGACGTTTCGAGCACAATTTATTGCTCATAATCATATCAAGGTAATCACACGACTTCCTAAATTCATTTATATAGTTCCATTGTTTTTCACTTGATTTGATTGGTAGTATTATTTTCCATATTTCAGGTATGAGTGATGATTCATTCCTATTGCATGTGTTGGGTGTAGATTCGATGAACAAAGATTCAGTAATCAACCTCTCTCTCCACCTACCCAGATTACTTTTTAGAATTTTAACCCTCTCCCAGCCTATTTTGTGGTTGTGTGTTAATGCATGCATTGCAATTGCCGAGCTTTTTTCTAAATTACTTATCTTCTCTGGGTCAACCATTTTTACCTTAGCTAAATTCTTATGTTCTGACAATCTGACTACCCCTGACCTAGTAGTTTGACCTATGTAGTTGACCTCACAGTCATTGCAGGGTATTTTGTAAATTATATTATTTTGTTTAATTGGGTCAACTAGGTCCTTTAACCTACAGAGCTTTTCCCTGAGTGAGTTTGTAGGTTTAAATGCCACCCTAATTCCTGCTTTATTTAGAATCCTACGTAGGGTCTCAGATGTCCTTTAACTGTTAAGGCAGGCTTAGTTAAGTGTTTAACAAATCGAGCAATGGCACTAAGTAGCACAAAAAAAGACCTAAATGATGAAATAAAACAGATAGAAGAGGTTAATCATTGAAGCTTTGTTTATCGATTCAACAGCGCACACTTGTAATGGAAATGACATAACGCCAATGCCGGAGATATGGAAAGTTGCAACAAACACAAAAAGGTAGTTGTTGGAGGGACAGAAAGAGAGCAAACATATACGAGACAAATTGTGAGACAGTGTGACTATAATTGATATGATTATAAGCAACAATTTATTCTCGAAATTCTCGTCATCCAGTTGTTAATACTGCATCACTGTATGATATTTATTAAAATAAACATATCTAATATGAAATTACATTCTACAACAGTGCCAGAGTTAAACACTTACATTACTAAGAAATATGAATGAAATAAAAATTGGTATTGGACTTATGTCAAGAGTTTGGAAAACTATTCAAGATGAACTCTCCACTTGAATTCTGAATTCTCAACCATTTAATAAGATAAAATGTTCAGAAAATAAAAGCGTCCAAAGCATCAGCTTATTCTGCACTGCCATGACTTATCCGGACATCGTGTAAATTAGCTTTGCACGAATGCATAATATTATACCTAATTTTATAACTATACTTATTCAAACTGCCAAAGAAATAAGACTTAAGTCAATGCAAGAACTGGCGCAGAATTATGCTCCTGTCCATCCCAAGCAAAATACTAAGCCGCATCATCCTGGAGAGAATCAAACGAGCCCTGGAAGAAAAACTTCGACCGGAACAAGCTCAATTCATAAGAAACAAGTCATGCATTGATCAAATCGTCACACTACGGATCATCATTGAACAAAGCTTGGAATGGCAGTCACCTCTCTATCTCAACTTCATCGACTTTGAAAAGGCCTTCAGCAGACAGAGTCGATCGAGAGGTGATTTGGCAACTAATTCGCTACTACGGGGTGCCACCGACAATTATACATCTCATGAAACAGTTGTACGACAATGCTGCATGCCAAGTAATCCACAACGGGAAACTTACAGAATCCTTCGAAGTGAGGACAGGAAAAGACAAGCTGGCTGCCTACTATTGCCAATGATTTTCCTGATTGCAGTAGACTGGATAATTCGACAGACAGAGAGCGGTGGGCAACGAGGAGACGGGCATAAAATGGACTCACACAAAAAGCTTAGAGGATCTAGATTTCGCCGATAATATATATCTGATTTCACACAAACTGGAAGATATGCAAGCGAAAAGCAACAAGTTGTCAGAAGAAGCATCAAACATAGGCCTACACTTCAGGTGAACATAGAGAAAACAGAGGTGATAAAGATTCTTGGCCAACACCACCAACAGTAACAACAACAACAACAGACAACAATCAGCATAAATTGGTAGAACCTGAAAGAAACAGTCTCCTTTACCTAACGACCTGGGAAGAATCGTTTCAACTACAGGCGGGCGGACCTGATGAGGATATCAAAGCGCGAGGAACGGGAAAGCAAGACAAGCTTTCACTACTCTGAAGCCTGTGTGGAGATCAACACTCAGCATGAAAGAAAACATGATCCGGATTTTCAACTCCAATGTGAAGTCAGTGCTACTTACTATACGGATCAGAGACTTGACCAGCGCGTCATAAAGAGCATCTCAAACATACTACAGACCAACATTAACAGATGTTTTCGCTCAATACTCAAGATCAGATGGCTGGCCAGAAAAGATCAGCAACAGAGATCTCTGGCAATTAGCTAACCAATCAGGAACCGATTGTGAAACAAATAGGCAGGAAGAAATGGAGTTAGGTGGATTGGCCATACTCTGAGGAAACCATCAAGAGACATCACTAGACAAGCCATTGCTCGAGTGGAACCCGAAAGGGAAGTGGCGAGTTGGTCATCAGTGCAAGGGTGACTTGGAGGAGGTGGTGTGAAGAGGAGATGAAAGCGTGTGGGCAGACTTGAAGCCAGGTGAAAACTCTAGCAGAGAACCGAACGCAATGGAGACGCACGGCTGAAACCCTATGGTCCTCAAGGAATTAAAGGAAATAATAATAATACCTATGCTTTGTGGAAATACAGCATTGTGCCCCTTTTTAGAGGTCTGTATCACTACAAATTGTAGAACAGATCCAGAAGTAAGTGGTTGATGCTTGACTTGAAGATGTCTTGGCAAGTCGTTTGCCTTCTTAGCATTTCTTCTTCCGCTGACTATGTCTGAAGAAGTACACAAAATTTCATTTAGACTGGATTCAATTTTTCTGAAAAATCACAGCTAATAGGGTCATATGAGTTACCGGAACAGTTACAATCTTAGCTGTATATCTACATGCATAAATGCATAAATATAATCTTTACTCACCTCACGTATGGAACAACTGGTTGTACATGATCATAATAAATTGCGATCAAATACCTGAAATAAAATGGGCAGATAAATATCTTTAAAACAATCAGTTCCCTTTATGAATTTAGATAAAGCAGTAAGAAGACGTAATTTGTCTGAATCGTGTAATGTATTTGCGCGCACGACACGTTTCGAACAATCTGATCACATACGGACTTGTCATAGAAATAGATATGAAATTAATAAAGAGTTGAGAGATGAGAAAATAGACTGCTTAGGTCAAGTTAAAAAGACATATTGAAGGTCAAAGTAACAATGAAGACCCCTAAACCAAATAGCAAAGGTAATAGTACATCTGCTATGGTATCAAAACAAAATTTACCAAGGAAGGTTTAATGTGATGACAGATTGTCCTCAAGTGTCTTCAGTCTCTCAAACCTACCCAGTCCCTTGGTCCTGATGGAGTTCCTGCTGTTATCCTTAAGAAGTGTGCTGACATCTTATGTTACCCATTAACCGACATTTTCAATGAATCTTTTTCCAAAAGTATTATTCCTGACTCATGGAAAAATATCAAGGTTGTTCCAATGCCTAAATCAACAAGTGGACCTACTGTCAAGTTTAGACCCATTGCTATTACCTCACCTTTTTTAAAACTTATGGAAAGACTTATTTTACTTAATCTTGAACCCTCTTTAAAGCCTTTCAATGACCCTAACCAGTTTGCCTATAAACATAGTAGGTGTACCTTAGATGCCGCTGTAGTTCTATATCATAATATAGTCTCTAGTTTAGATAGAGGAGCCAAATATGTTCGGTGTGCCTTCCTTCATTACACATCTGCATTTGACTCTGTACCTAGGTCTCTCTTGTTAAGTAAGCTTGCTGCAACACAGAGTGAGAGCTGGATAAATAAGTGGTTGTCTTCCTACTTTTCTGATAGGAAGTAGTACACTGTCTACAGTGGAAAGTCCTCCATTACCTCACTTACTTTAGCTGGTGTTCCTCAAGGTGCTGTTCTTTCTCCTTTTCTGTTTTCTTTTTTCTTGCATGACTTGCCCCACTCTGATATAGCAAATTTTGTCAAGTATGCTGATGACCTCTTTGTCTCCATGCCTGTCAACTCTCAGTCAGACTGTTCCATATTAAATAACTTTCTCTCGGAAATTAGTCAGTGGTCCTCTTCAAACGGTCTTAAGCTGTATCCGTCTAAATGTCAGGTAGTAAATTTTACTTTCAGACGAAAAAGTGACCTAGAACAACTAGCTGGCTCACATGGTCCCACTATCATTGACGGCATAGAGGTTGAAACTACATCTAATGTCAAGTATTTCCTCCGATCTTTCCTGGTCCTCTCACATCTTGCTAGTGACTAGAAAGATGTTTCGCTTAACGTTCTACGTTAGGAAGTTAAGGCAGTCTGGTATAAAGCAGTCTTTGCTTTCTCAGTTTGTCAATTCCTGTATTCTACCCATCCCTCTTTACTGCTCCCCATTAATCTTCCCTGGACTACTTAAGAAAGACTTTGCTTCGCTGCGTAGGGCACTAATGGCTGTTAGTAGGGGAAGTGGGATTTCGTTAAACCAACTGGTTAACACTATTGTGGATAGACATATAATGTCATGTAAGAAACTAGCGAATTATATATTGTCAGACCCCAAACACCCTCTCTATACGCAGCTCTCTCCTTGCATTTCATCTAGTAGAACTAGAAGCAACTATAGGAAGCTATATGCCAGGACTACCAAGTATAAAAACTCCACAATACCTTATCTGGCACAGCTGTTATGTGATGAGAAAACTGTTAGGCATGACACGATCACCTTACTGCGGCACTCTAACAAATAGTTCCCATTAGCTTTTGTTCTCCTTTCTTTGTTACTATTATATTGTTGCTCATACATTCTATTACACACTAATTTTATATTTCATATCCTGTGGTGCATTGTTTAAATATGTGAATGCAATGCTGTTCTTTTTATTTCTTTTATTTCTCTTTTTTTCTTTTTGTTGTTGTTGCTTTTTATTTTTAAATCCTTATAAAATCTATGAGGTAATTAGATGCAATATTGTAATGTACGCTGAAAATTCCATACCTGTACCACAAATACTGTTTGGAATAAAGCCATTATTATTATTGTTTTTGAACACATAAAGGTGGTTTAAACTTCCTAATTGCCAGTTAAGGCTTCCACAAACTTTAGGATACGCTTCAAACACGTTTTATAGATAGGTTTAAAAGATCTGTTAACGTCAATTGTATGTCCTGTCTCTATAATATGTTTCGCAATAGAAGAGCTAGGTCTCCAGTTCTCACCATTAATAGGTTCTGAAGATTCCATTTGTTTCTGGAGCCATTTAGGAATATGCTCTGAAGCCCTCGCTTGCAGAGATCGATGACTCCTCCCTATGTACGTGTGTCTACACGTACATTCAAATTAGTAAATACAGTGGGATGTGACGTCATTTTTCGCATGTTCGAAGGGCTAAGATAGATATATTTGCTTTACATTCTTTTTGACAGCAGCGTTCAGTCTTTGTCTAGTTATCAAGCTACTTCGATGCCCCATATAGAGTAGCTTGATGTACACGTCTTTCTTAGGGGCGAGTTGGAGAGTGGGTCTTGGTGTTCCGCTGACTACTTTATATCTCCTGATGAACTTGTCTGGATAATTGTTATCAACCAGAGTTTGTGTAAACTTTCTTTCTTCTTCATCAAGTGTGTCTTCAGTGCATATTCGTTGGATTCGACTGAAGAGGCACCTAGCTGACTAAGGCTCTTTTGTACCGAACAGGGCAGAAACTGTGGTAATTAAGATACTGTCCTATCCAGGTAAGTTTTCTATAAAAAGTCTATTTTCTCACCTCATAACTCTTTATTAATTTCATATATATCCTTATGATAAGTCCGTGTGTGATCAGATTGTTCGAAATGTGTTGCGCAAATACATTACACGATTTGGATAAATATCTTCCTAATTACCTTTAGATAGTAAGAAGTATATTACCTTAAAAAGTGTTATTTGAAAATACTTTGTGATTTCGTGGTGTGATGCCTTTCGACTAGAAATAATAAATGTCATTGACTTAGGTCGACATCTTTAATCCCTCAGTAAGCAGATCATATAACATGAAATTACCTTACATATTAAACAATGGTACTTTCAAATTGTACTTTCACCTTTCCTCATTATCCAACTATTACTGTGGAAATTCTTTGCCGATTTGGAATACTACCGTGGAACACCTAATACTTATATGTTAGAAAGTAAATTCACTTATTGGGTTGATTTATTGTTTCCACTAATTTCATTATTTCTACTTTGATTTTTCACAAATCAGCTTATAATAAGCAATTCCATAGCGTTATTAGAAGACGAAGATTATCTGAAAAGGTATGTGATGTATCTGCGCTATACATTTCGAATAATCTGATCACACATTTACTTGTCAAGTCAATATACATGGAAAAGTTAAATTAAACAAAGTGACACAAGAAAAGATTTAAGAATAGTTAACGCAAACGTTTGGTAATCCAATCAAATAAGGATTACCAAGGTAGGTTAAGAGCAATAATAAACTGTTTTTGAATACACAAGGGGGGCTTACGTTTATGAATAGCTATAGCCTCAGCGTATTTCAGTAAACGCCCTTGACCGTTTTTATAGATGACCTTAAAGGCTGAGTTAACATCAATCTTATGGTTCATCTCGATTAGATGTTTAGCTATAGACGAAGTTGGTAGTCTGACACCTGCATCTATTGGTTTCTCACAATTCATCTGTTTTTCTAACCATTTTGGGATATGCTCTGCCACCCTCACGTGCAACGCGCGATTACTCCTCCCTATGTATGTATGTCCACACACACAAGAAAATTGGTAAATTGTGTGGGATGTGATATAATCACTTGTGCACTTTTGAGGTTTCCAGTGAAGCATATTTTTAGCTTTTTCCACAATTACAAACTGGGCTGCATCAAAGGTTCTACGGATGATCGAATTCAACCTTTGTCTCAAAATCCTACTGTTTATTTCCCCGTTATATGGTAATTTGATGAAAACATTTTTCTTAGGGACGGTATGGATTGTAAGTTTAGAGGCTAGTTGACTTCTACACCTATTTAAAAAATTCAAAGAATATCCGTTTTCAACAAGAGTATCCCACAATATTTCGTTTTCTTTGTCTATAACACCAGCCGTGAAAATACGCTGAATCCTCTTGAACAGACACTTCACCAAGCCTCTCTTATACTGTAATGGACAGAAGCTGTGAAAATTAAGGTATTGCCCTGTCCAAATAGGCTTTGTGTAGATAGACTGTCTTGTTGAGCCATCATCTCCGACTCAGCAGTATGTCTTAAAATGCAAGCTGGTTGCGACTTTCTTCCTCGCATGTAAGACTAATATGATTCTGTACAGAGTTGAGTCTATCTAATAGACTACTCGCATCTTCATGATCGTCACATATCAAAATGATATGATCTGTATATCTCCTATAGAAGAGCAATTTAGAAATTAAATCAAGGTACAAGTTCTCAACATAAGACATGTGAACATCCGCTAACAAAGGTCCTAATGGACGCCCCATAGCAACACCATCCACTTGTCAAAAATGTTCACCTTCAAACGTGAAATGGACGTTGTCAGTACTACAATCCATACCGTCCCTAAGAAAAATGTTTTCATCAAATTACCATATAACGGGGAAATAAACAGTAGGATTTTGAGACAAAGGTTGAATTCGATCATCCGTAGAACCTTTGATGCAGCCCAGTTTGTAATTGTGGAAAAAGCTAAAAATATGCTTCACTGGAAACCTCAAAAGTGCACAAGTGATTATATCACATCCCACACAATTTACCAATTTTCTTGTGTGTGTGGACATACATACATAGGGAGGAGTAATCGCGCGTTGCACGTGAGGGTGGCAGAGCATATCCCAAAATGGTTAGAAAAACAGATGAATTGTGAGAAACCAATAGATGCAGGTGTCAGACTACCAACTTCGTCTATAGCTAAACATCTAATCGAGATGAACCATAAGATTGATGTTAACTCAGCCTTTAAGGTCATCTATAAAAACGGTCAAGGGCGTTTACTGAAATACGCTGAGGCTATAGCTATTCATAAACGTAAGCCCCCCTTGTGTATTCAAAAACAGTTTATTATTGCTCTTAACCTACCTTGGTAATCCTTATTTGATTGGATTACCAAACGTTTGCGTTAATTATTCTTAAATCTTTTCTTGTGTCACTTTGTTTAATTTAACTTTTCCATGTATATTGACTTGACAAGTAAATGTGTGATCAGATTATTCGAAATGTATAGCGCAAATACATCACATACCTTATCAGATAATCTCCGTCTTCTAATAATGCTATCAAAATTTATAAAAGGGACTAATTGTTTTATAATAAGCAAATATTTATCGGTTGAAAAAAAAGTGACTCATTGAATTTTTTAGCTTAATATTCAAACTACTGATATACAGAAACTATTCGTTGATTTGCTCAATGCACCTTAAAGTTTATTTTCTTTATGCTGTCAATGATTTACATTTAGATGGTGTTACAGAAAATATAAAGCAGCATAATGATTTGACAGAAATTTACCAAGTGTATTCGTTTACATTAAGTAGACAAATGACACCGCTTTATAAAATACCCAGGGGACAATACAACCAAGTAAACGATAGTCTAATTCAAAGTCCATTTGTACTTACATTACTGGCAACCAAAACAAAGCGTGAATGGCAGCAAAAAGTGGTATGCGAGATGGATAAAACTTAGGCCACTCCATTGAGAATAGCTGTTGCATAATAAACTACTGGATATTTCTACATATGATAAAGCAAAAGAAGAGAAATAAACACACATACATATTTAATAATGTTATTAAACATTGTTAGTTTTATAACAGCTTATTAGTCTGTTATAACAATAATAATAAACTTTATTCCAAAATCAGTACTTGTAACACAGAATGGAATTCTCAGCATTTGTCACAATATAACATCTGATTTGCTTAAATTGTAAATAAAATTAAAAATTAAGGCAAAATTAACCAGAGGAATTTCTCGACGTTTACTATAAATAGTCAAAAATATTCGAAGGACGAATTGAGTATATTAAATATAATAATAACAGTGAGTCTGTTTCAAACATTACTGTCGATTCAGTTTGGAAACTTTAGCATGTTATAGATTATTGGATCTAATGTTCTGTTGATATAGTATAGTGAGGGGAAATACAAAATTAACAGTTATAATACAGCTTAAATTATGTTCACACTTATAAAAAAATAAACAAAAAGAATTTAGAGGATTGTAAATATAAGAAGTACAATAACAATAAAGGTTGATTTTTTAAGGGTGAAGAATATTTACAACAGCCTGTTGCAGACATTTATCAACATCTGTCTTCGCTCTATACTCAAGATCAGATGGCCGGAAAGAATCACCAACAAGAAACTATGGGAAGAAACAAAACAAGAACTAATCACCCAACAAATATGCAGGAGAAAGTGCAGAGGGATTGGACACTCGCTGAGGAGGCCACTCGCTGGGTGACATCGAGCGTCAGGCCATAGCTCGATTGGAACCTGAAAGGGAAGCGGCGAGTGTGACGTCCAAGGGTGACATGGAGGAGATCGTATGAAGAGGAGCTGAAACATTATGGATTTATATGGATGCAGGTGGAAAGTACAGCAGAAGACAGAAGCAAGTGAAGCCCTATGTTCCACTTGGAACCCAAGGGAAGAATAATAATATAATATTATAATAAATAACATAAGCAACAACTACTACGTCTGGTCAGATTCTTAAATGAGAGAGATAAAATTTTCAGATTTCAAACATCAGAATGTATATTAATCAAGCCATCAAATCATACCAACGGACACTATTTTGAGTAATCACAATACAATTCATGTATTTTCAGCTCACCTGCTTACTGACAGTCACAGTTCAACAGTCTAAATGATAAATATATTCCACTTGTGTTAGTGAACCAACCGTATACACCTAGTCTAGAACTACAAGAAAAGCGTTCATTTATACAACGGTGTAAAGATTTTAGGCCAATTATAAATAAATAAATAATACTCTCAGTATTCAGCTGTATCACAAAGAGTACACACAGAGCATTCATTGATCAATAATTATTTATCAGAAATTAATCGTAAAATTTGACCAATAAAATCAGTAATCAACAGAAAATGCACAAGCTGACCTACTTTTGCTTTTCTGCACCGACACGCGATACGAAACAGGTTTCATAAGTAAATTTCAAAAAAAAAATATCTGTAGTTAAGTAATGAATGCTTTCTTGTCTTTGACTCTAGTAGTTACTCTGGAAACCAAGACGAGAGTGTTTGAGAAAATTCCTGTAAAATCAAATAATCTTCAAAAACTTACTATTCACATAAGTTAAGAAGGTACTGTCGATAAGTCCATAGGTGAATTGAGACAGTTATTTGCCCCGTCAGTTTCTACGCTTCTACTGATATAAAATCAGACTAACGTTTGCATATGGAGAAATAAGTAATTTCAGCAGATTTTGGAAAAAATGTTCACCATTTCAAGGCTACTATCCCTGGATGAAAAACTTCGACCGAAACAAGCTCAATTCATAAGAAACAAGTCATGCATTGATCAAATCGCCACACTACGGATCATCATTGAACAAAGCTTGGAATGGCAGTCACCTCTCTATCTCAACTTCATCGACTTTGTAAAGGCCTTCAGCAGACAGAGTCGATCGAGAGGTGATTTGGCAACTAATTCGCTACTACGGGGTGCCACCGACAATTATACATCTCATGAAACAGTTGTACGACAATGCTGCATGCCAAGTAATCCACAACGGGAAACTTACAGAATCCTTCGAAGTGAGGACAGGAAAAGACAAGCTGGCTGCCTACTATTGCCAATGATTTTCCTGATTGCAGTAGACTGGATAATTCGACAGACAGAGAGCGGTGGGCAACGAGGAGACGGGCATAAAATGGACTCACACAAAAAGCTTAGAGGATCTAGATTTCGCCGATAATATATATCTGATTTCACACAAACTGGAAGATATGCAAGTGAAAAGTAACAAGTTGTCAGAAGAAGCATCAAAGATAGGCCTACACATCAGGTGAACATAGAGAAGACAGAGGTGATGAAAATTCCTAGCCAACACCACCAACAGCAACAACAACAACAGAGAACAATCAGCCAGCATAAATGGGAGGAACCTGAAAGAAACAACCTCTTTTACTTAACGACTTGGGAAGCATCGTTTCAACTACAGGCGGGCGGACCTGATGAGGATATCAAAGCAAGAATCGGAAAGCAAGACAAGCTTTCACTACTCTGAAGCCTGTGTGGAGATCAACACTCAGCATGAAAGAAAACATGATCCGGATTTTCAACTCCAATGTGAAGTCAGTGCTACTTACTATACGGATCAGAGACTTGACCAGCGCGTCATAAAGAGCATCTCAAACAAACTACAGACCAACATTAACAGATGTCTTCGCTCAATACTCAAGATCAGATGGCTGGCCAGAAAAGATCAGCAACAGAGATCTCTGGCAATGAGCGAACCAACACAGCAGGAACCGATTGTGAATCAATTAGGCAGGAAGATATGGAGTTAGGTGGATTGGCCATACTCTGAGGAAACCATCAAGAGACATCACTAGACAAGCCATTGCTCGAGTGGAACCCGAAAGGGAAGTGGCGAGTTGGTCGTCAGTGTGTGGGTGACTTGGAGGAGGTGGTGTGAAGAGGAGATGAAAGCGTGTGGGCAGACTTGGAGCCAGGTGAAAACTCTAGCAGAGAACCGAACGCAATGGAGACGCACGGCTGAAGCCATATGTTCCTTTGGGAATTAAAGGAAATAATAATAACTTCATAGATGGTTGAAGAAGACCAGAGTTGTACCAGTTCCATCGATCTTCAGCTGTCTCAGTAAGGCTGTTCAACAATCGGTTATTGCTCAAATTTGCGACACACGCTGAAATTATTTTCAACAAATTCTCATTGGTGTTATTTGACTGGTAACTCATATTGTTCCAGGACATTCTCAATATCAGTGGTTTGAATGACTATAAAATTAGTTCTTGATATCTAAATGATCCTAAACATGCCTTCCAATGCATTCATTAGAGTCAAAACCAAAAGTTAGAAAATGCATTTATTCAGCCTGTTTTACTCTGACTAACTGATTCACTATTTTATAAACGTTTTGTGTTTCCCAATAAATGGAAGACAGAACGATATTGTTTTTTAAAATATGTTTTTACTGTTAAAACAGAACTTGCCGAAGAAGTTGGCTATATCGTGAATCGGCAGAAGTTAGAATTCATGGGCTGGCCACTGGATCGGCTCTCAGTGGCTTAATGGCCTACGAGCCCGCTAGCCTTGTAACCAGAAGGTCCTGGGTTCGAACCCCGCGGTGTGGGTGCGTACTGATGAAGAGTCCCAAACTAGGCTGACGAAACAGCTGTCCAGTACTCCCTGCAGGTTTCCCAATGGTTCTCTAACCAATGTCAGCTCATGATGAAATCCTGTAACCAATCAACCAAATCCTTACAAACCAATACTTGAAAAGTGAACTTGATTTGCACATATATAAGTTAACTGAAAATGGATTATTTTATCAAAGCATAAATGTGACTCACTTTATACTAGAAATCAAGAGAAAACGCTCACCACACTCTACTCTTGCAGATCATATCCATAGAAAGAGTTCAGTTTTAGAAAACATCAATACTTCTCGTCATGTAGCGTCAGCAGAGACTTCATTCATTCATATTATCAAGTAAGATCCAGGTAGTTCAAAAGTTTTTCGCTTACACCTTCTTTATGAAGCCGAAATTTTAACTTTCCAAAATGAAAAAACTGAACTTGATTTTCAAAAACACTTTATCAAACCTCGTTTACTACCATGTCTTTAGTATCAGTTGTATTTTTTTGACTCGTTGTATAACAAGCTCTGTCATCTTTCTAATTTTTGTTTTTTCTCGGGACCCACTTTCAACTTTTCGCCCTCATTCCCTCTTAATTATTTCTCAGTGAATGAATATTCATCACCTAATTAACTGGTCGTTCATCTTCTCAATTGTGTGAAATTATTCACTGACCTTCACAGATTGTTATTTCTCATAGACGGATTCATTTTTTTACTAAGTGATAGTACTATCTGAACTTCATTGTGAATGAATACTGAAAGTGTACACCCCTAAATAACTGTACAGCATTAAAGAGAAGTTATGAATGCGATCTTTATGCTGATGTATGTGTTTTTAGTCCTTATCACATATCGATTGTTCATATCTTGAATAAACTTCTAAGTATTTTCGATTGTTCGCTGAACATCGTGCATTGTTTTCTTAATTACTTTCACTATTATTTACTTGTGAGTGAATTTCGGTTCCAGCTGGATCACGAGATGTCGCAATTGTTGCAGAATTTTGATGTTGCAGAGGGCCAACTCGCCCGCTGGTAAGAACCGACGCAAAAGGAATTACGAGATCTACCGGCAGATGCGTGATGCATCTCTGGTAAACGAGGTCTGCTTAGCCTAGTAAACGATGTTCTTCACATAGTGGAACCGAATTCAAACCTACGTGCACCACTTGCAAATGATAATGTACAGGAGCTCATCAGCCAAGTACATCATCAACTTGGTCATGCTGGTCGACATAAAACGAAACACGCCATCTGTCAGTACTTCTGGTTGCCGTTGCTTCATCGGAGTATGGTTGAGTTCTGTCAAAATTGTGACTACTGTAGCCGGAATAAGCAGCTCACACAGTTGTCCAGAGCACCTCTGGTATCCATGTTGACCGAAGCGCCGAATCAGCGCATTGGCATTGATCCAATGAGGCCAATTCCAATCTCAAAAAGAAGTAACCGGTACATCTTATTGATGGCTGACTATTATGCAAAATGTTGTGAAGCAGTGACTTCGCAACAACAAAATGCAATCACCGTGGCTAGGGCACTTTTATTGACAACTTGATAACTAGCTCTGGCGCCCCACAATCATCGCATCTCGACCAAGGTACTGCTTTCGAGAGCCGACTTACCCGTCACATCTGCAAGGCATTTCGTAATAGGAAGACCCACATGACTGCCAATCATCCAGAAGAAAATGGCCTGGTGGAACGTACTAATAGCACAATCAAGAATATATATAGTGAGCTTCTCTCAGCCGCTTATCGACTGACGTCTGGAACTATGCACTGTCTCAGTGCCTCCTTGACTACCGCTCTTTCATCCACTCATCCACGGGTGCTTCTTCCGTCTTATTTTGTTCGGCCACGAATTTCATCTCCTTGTTGAAGAACGGGTGCCACCTTCACCCTTTGAACAAATCGACCATGTTGTTTATGTTCAGGAATATCACAAACGTCTGACAATCACTAATGAGATAGCGCGCACTCAAAAACAGTCGTCAAGCTATCGGCGGAAAAATGTGTATGATCGTGTTCTTAGTGGCCGAGCTTTCACTGTAGGCGAATATGTTTGCAAATTAGTCTATTCAGTATCCTCCGCCAGTAAATGTTGAAATCTACTCATAACTCCCTACACAATAGCCACAATATCTCGGTACCATGCGCCGACTTGAAAAACGCGCTTGCGAACACTACCCAGCCTGGCTAGTAAAAGGAGACCGAAAACGTGTATACAGTTCAGTGACAGAACATCTGGTCAACTCAGGACATTCAGCGCCTTTCGAAAAATCCTTCAAAGTAATATACAAAATTCAATCAAACCTATCAAAGGGAATCAAATCAAGACATCTGGGCATAGCTGAGGCGCTAGCTATCCAAAAGCTCAAACCCACACTTTGTATCCAAAAGAATTACGTCCAACCCCTCTCCCTACCATGGCCATCATAAACAGGTAAAAATTTTTTAGTAATGACAATCTCATCACCTTTCTTATCTAAACTTCCTGTTTATTCATGTTATTTTAACTTTTCTTAAACCCTGTTTACACTACCATATTTTCATACCCACTCTTCCTGTTTATTTTGTCATTTTACTATTTCTACATA